GTCAAGGGTCAGAATGAAATGCCATTTTTCAAGAGAACGTTGCCAAGCTGCTGCCTCTAATTCTGCATCGGAGGCCTGATTTTTGAAGTTTACACACCCCAAGAAACAAGGCCTCCCGAAAGCAGCAACTTTGACCTTCTTGACTGCACGAGCCTGTTCCTCGATAGGAGCATCTGCAGAAGAAGGAACAGGGAATTCAATTTTTGAAGGTCCTGACGGCAAAACCTGATCAAGAGCGTCTCTTCCAAAAATCAAATCCAACCCTGGCATCTCCCACGGCAATTTGAGAACCTGCGGCTCGCTGCAACTGAAGATGGCATCGCGAATAGCATCTCCCATCTTTGTAAGGTCAAGTTCCGAAGCTGAGCCCACACCCCCCGCAGCAGACGAAGCAGAGGAACGCGGCCGGTGCTCACTCATTGTGAGATTCAAGAACTGGCGTTTTCAAAGCGGAAAGCACGGGCGATTCGCTGCACTAGTTGCTCCAACCAGCCTAAGCGAAGGGAGTGCTGGTACCGTTCGGCCTCAAGATTCACAGTTTGTTGGCGCACTTCCTGAAGCTCTGAACGCAGCGAAGCGACCTGCTGTTCTAGAGAAGTAACCTGAAGCTGGACTTCGTGCAAGTGGGCCGAAATGGCCTCCTGAGTGTCGCTCGAGGATGACGCGGCCTCAAAGGTCGCGCCGGGTTCCATCCAAGCCCCTGCGGGGCTCTTGCACGGAGCTCTAAGAGCAACACCGAAATACGGAGGTCACGGGCCTGCTAGACAGAAGTACAAGCCTCTAGAGAGCCCAGTTCGAAAACTCTCACTGCTCTACCTCAGAGCACCCACTGCAACATCGCGGAAGTCAACATATATAAAAACCGCATGATGTCTGCAGTGACATGAAACAAAGATGAAAACATGGCCGAGCGAAGATTTTAAAGAAATTCTTTAAAATCACAAAACACCTTTCCGTGAAAATAATACCTTACGCAGGCTGGCTGCGATGGTGGCTTAGTGTTGATCTTCTCCCTCAAACTGCCATGCAAGTCTGTCTCTGCCAAACATGCCAACACGGCGGAGAGAGAGAGAGAGAGAGAGAGAGAGAGAGAGAGAGAGAGAGAGAGAGAGAGAGAGAGAGAGAGAGAGAGAGAGAGAGAGAGAGAGAGAGAGAGAGAGAGAGAGAGAGAGAGAGAGAGAGAGAGAGAGAGAGAGAGAGAGAGAGAGAGAGAGAGAGAACAAACGGAATCGCGTGATTTTACCTTCCCAGGGCTTTCTATGTCTCACGAGGCCCGGAAATGTCACGGCACCCATGCAACCGAACTTTCGCAAGACAGCGTCGATTCGGCTGCACGCGGTGAGCAACTTCCCGTGCTTCCCCCGGGGCTTTGTGTGTAGCACGACGCGCGTAAATGTCACGGCACCCATGCAACCGAACTTTCGCAAGACAGCGTCGATTCGGCTGCACGCGGCGAGCAACGTCGCCTACTTCTAAGAGCAAGCTTCAGAGCCCCAGACGGCGTAAGAAGTCCTCCGTCTGCTGATCGGGGTCTTGCGCCCATCCGCGAGCGTTCTTCCCGGAAGAGGAGCAGTGCACATCGAAGTTAGGGAGGCTGGCGTAGTACTGCATGCACTGCACACAGCCAGCGCTGGCCGCATATAGAAATTTGTACTCCAGTTGACGATCTTCATCCAGATGTCCATGCCTTTTTTGCCAGCGGGGGCAATGAGGCTGGTTTTCACAAGGTGTGTAATCCACCGATGTATCACTACTCTCACTAGACATGCTGCTTGACGACGAGGTATCCCGCGGAACTTCGCCTGTCTCTGCGGCCGTAGGGCTTCGTGACCTCGGAGCGGAGGAAGGGCCAGCACCTCCGGCCGCAGTGCTGGGTGTCCGCGAAGGGAAACTTGCCCATGCAACACCGGAGCCCGGTGTCTGTGAAGCAGAACTGGGACCACAGTCTTCGCTCGCAACGTCAGGCGGCGACGAGGGTGGCGGAGGGACATTTCTTGCCCAATGAACTCGAAATGTCTGAGAGGGAATGGCAGCGCCAGCAGCAGCACAGCCTCCGCCCGCGGTGTTGGGTTGCCGCGGAGGGGCTTTAGGCCAAACATGCCGCGGAGAGGCACTTGGCCATGCTGAAAACGGTTTTTGCCGAATCTCACACCATCGCTCAAACCTTTCCATCTCAGTGGCGAGCCATGTCTGGAACCCTGCATCTCCGGCTTTGTTTGGACGACCGTCTCTCCGTAGCATGCGATACTTGTTCCTCACAGTGTCCACGTCCATCCATTTAGCACTGTCAGGATCGAGCCGCAATTTGTTCAAAAAAACACCGAAATCCGCCATCGAGCAACTGAGCTTTCGCAAGACAGCGTCGACTCAGCGATTCCCCGGGAAACTATGAACGTCGACGGAGCCAAAAGCTTCGTTGAACAACCACCATGTCGCATGAGGCAAGTTTCAAACTGAGAATAGGGCTCGTGCACCAAAGCATACATGGACGTCGCCGTAGAGCGCGAGCAATCACCTGATGCAAGGCGGCTGCATAGAGTCTATAGAGGCAAATGTCAGGATATGCAACAAGTCCAAGCTGAAACTCGACCGAGGAGCAATCCTGAATCCGTTAAAGTGCCCTACAAAGCAAACCAGACAAGAGGTTTCCACGTCATCAGCCCCAGTCGACCGTCCCGGCCTGTGAACGGATCACTTTGCACATTCCGGGCACCTTCGCAAGTGCCGGGAGCAGTTCGACCACAAGCGATGATTTACTGGGCCTCGCGAACCTGGTGCATCCATTCTGTTTGTTAGCTGCATAGCACTCACAAGGAGGTCTCCAGGCCAAGGTTTAAGGTGTTTAAGATGTACGCTTCATATGACCGCTCTGGTTGCGGTCACCCACAGCGAGTGATCCACGATCAGGGGCCTACGCGGAGCCTCGCAAAGCCAGCGCATGATGGTTCTCTGCTAGCTGGATACCGCTTCGTACAAGATCTCCAGGCAGCAGCTGAAGAACCTAACAATGACTGCGGCGCTTAGCAGAAGCAATCCATGAAGACTATGACCAAAGTTGAAATCGGACCATGACCAAAAGCTGTTTTACAGCTCACAGAGCTTTGTGCTTCGGTCGACCGCCCCGGCCTACCAAGAAAAGCGATACTCGACTTGGACCGTCCCGAAGACGTCGGTACCTGCCACAACACACACGGGTGCGCTACGATGACAGCCCAAAGCGGCCACACACATGCTTCCACATGCCGGCAAGCGAATCGACAAGGATTTCCTGATCAACAGCAAGCACAGCAAACCACAAAACCCCACACCCTGACTTAAGCATTGCAAAACGTTCTGCTAGCGGCAGCAGGGCTTCCTATCCTTGCAAGCACGGATGGCCTCCCCTCCTGGTTGGGAGCTGAAAGCAAGCCACAACACTGGACCACCCCACCCGGCACTTTAGCCCATGTGCCCGGGTGTCATATGCCACGGCCCTGGCACGTTGGCCTCAAGGTGGTCCAGATGCCTCGATGCACTCCAAGCCGCACACCCGGCCAGCGGTGTGCACGGACGGATGGGCTGTCGAATCCGTGCGGGTACGGCAAGGTCTCCACGCAAACCAAGATGTCGCAAGAAAGAACGGCAACGGCGGCAGAAAAGACGAGAAAGAGACGAAGACGAAAAGCATGGATCGGCGTGGACTCCAGGCTGTCCTGCACTAGCAATCCATGAGGGAAGTGACACCCGGATCACGACGTACAACTACAAGCTGCCCTGCACTACATTCTTCCCTCAAGGAAGCTGTGCGCGAAACAGCGAGTCCTGGGTAGCGGCCACACACACGCCTCAACATGCCGGCAAGTGCACAACCTGACTTAAGCATCCCTTTCTGTAATGGCCTCCCCGGCGTCTTTGCAAAGACGAACGTGCTCTGACAGTCATGCGGACCGGAGACTTAGGCCACCCCCATTCGGCCGAGATATGGGGTCACCCCGCTCTGCCATGGGGATATCAGGCGAAGGCTCTCAACGACCACTAGCAGCTGCAAGCATTTGCCCGCGCTATGCTTATGTCGCCCTCTGCTCGCAAAGAAGCAGCACGTCGTGGTCGTCGTGGTGCCATCCCAGAGTCTGCCCCCGACATTGTGTACCTTCTGCTGGACTTGGCCAACAGCTTGGCGCAAGAGCCGAACGTCGGGTCGGCCATGGCAAGAGCGGTAGTCGAATTTAGTTCGACTGTGGCGCGGGTACGTGGCATCAAATGGTAGCTGCCAAAACTGGCGAGCATGCAGCTGCCGTTTGTTAGAACACGATACATCAAACCCCATTCTGAACATGTTGGCACGCTGGCTTCGACAAACACAACCGAACAGCAAGCCAAGCAAGGTGCTCTGCTCAATAACACAACCACGTCCCAAGAACGGACGGCCCCCCTTCTTTGTTCGGAACCTGGAAGTCTGGCCCGGACAACAGGATCCAAGGTCGCGGAACTCCAGCCTTTGCCCCAGCACGGCGCATTAGCCCATAAGCCCGGCTGTCATCTATCCCCCTGCCCGGGGCTAGGTTGGCCTCAAAGCAAAACCGAACGCCTCACACCTGGCCAACGGTGTCGAGAGCAACCCGGAAGGGGCAGGGGTCGGCTCCCGACGTAAGGCTTTAAGGCAAACATTCGAAGATCGACCGGCACTCTGCCTCTGTTAATTCAAGTGCACAACAACACAGACATGTCACAAGATTCGATCAAGCTCGACTCAATATCAACCGTCTCCAAAGCCCGCGTGCTTAAAGTCTTAGAGTAAGGCTCGTGCAGCAAAGCAGCGATGGAGGTTCTCGTAGAGCGCGAGAAATCGCCTGATGCAAGGGGGCTGCGTAGAGCTACACATCGTGCAGAAGCTGCGCCTTTCGGAATCCTTCTTTTTGTGTCACAGCCTCTTCTCATCACACAGCCTATTCTACCGCGCCACCGAACTTTCGCAAGACAGCGTCGATTCGTTAATGTTAGGCGCAAATCTACGCTCGGCACTAAGCGCTCTGCCACTGCGCTTCAATCGAGAACAGCAGTGTGCCGTCTGCGCCCAACGACTCACGACGAAGCGGCATGTGAAGGCGAAACCATCCGGGGTTCTGGGGGGTCTTTTCCAACAGGCCCATTTCCTCAGTGGCAGCGACAAGAGAATTGTTAAGGCAAGGACACCCAGGCTTTCGAGGTTGTTATTCCACACGCAAATGTCAATGCAGCACTTTTATTGCAAGACACCATGAGCGTCGTGTACCCCATCGGCGTAAAGGTGATAGCGTGAGCTCTGACGGTGTGAGGATCACCCGAACGTCCAGTGGGAATTTCTCCATCCCACGTCGTCATGTCCGAGTCCAGGCACCGATGAATGGCCTCGACCGACCGTTATACTAGCAACAGCAGACTTTGCATGTGCTAGCACGGGCATGCCACAGCAAGCACAACCGAGATGCCAAAACGGCGGTAGGACGAAGTCCCCAGCGGTTCTTGAAGGAACCCACGACTGCCTGTCCGGCCAACACCTGATCGGATTGAATGGGCGTCAAACCCACGTAGACTCGCACCTCCGTCACGACGGGAATGGCCATGGCTCCGGAATGCATCTGGGGAGGCACCGAGCTTTCGCAAGACAGCGTCGACTGGCAAATGTGAACAGGATGGAGCCAAAGCTTCGTCTACAAATCGTCAAGCTGTGGAGACCTCACGTCCCTCTTAGGCCTGACATGTACAGCATCAAGGACGAAAGACTTTAAAGGATTCTATCGCTGCCATGCTATACCTTGCATATCTACCCAGCCACGCCTGTCCTGCAAGGGTTGTAAGTAGACAATCAAACGTTGTCCTCCGCCGGCGTCGTCCACGCTGGCTCTTTCGCAAGACAGCGTCGAAGCCATGCAGCAACGAGTGAAACTAGGGAAACTACTGAAGGCGGTGCAAAGCCAAGAGCACGTAGTCGCGGCGTCTCCACGCTCTTAGAGCTGGTCGAGCCGCTAAAATGCGCCCCACAGCTTCCGCCGCGCTGCACCTTGTGTCCTGCATCAACCATGCGCAAAGGGCCGCAGGGCTGCGATTGATGCCGCCGAAGCAGTGGAAGAGCACGTTGAAGTCCTTGCCCTCCTTTCTGCAGGCTGTGCGTGCACTCGACAGAGCATCAGCCATGCCTTTCCAAGTTTGGGTGCAGTTCTGCGTGCATTCCAAGAACCAGTCCGGATGCTGGCTGTACTTGACCTGGTGGTCGTCCAGCTCGACTTGCAAGTGACGCACACCGCAATCGAGGAAGTGCTTCTTCCAATCTCTCGGAGTTCCTTTCACTTGCATCTCTGTTTTCCAACAAATGCTGACAACAACTGTAACGGGAACTTTCGTGTGCACAACCGAGATGCCAAAACGGCGGTAGGACGAAGTCCCCAGCGGTTCTTGAAGGAACCCACGACTGCCTGTCCGGCCAACACCTGATCGGATTGAATGGGCGTCAAACCCACGTAGACTCGCACCTCCGTCACGACGGGAATGGCCATGGCTCCGGAATGCATCTGGGGAGGCACCGAGCTTTCGCAAGACAGCGTCGACTGGCAAATATGAACAGGATGGAGCCAAAGCTTCGTCTACAAATCGTCAAGCTGTGGAGACCTCACGTCCCTCTTAGGCCTGACATGTACAGCATCAAGGACGAAAGACTTTAAAGGATTCTATCGCTGCCATGCTATACCTTGCATATCTACCCAGCCACGCCTGTCCTGCAAGGGTTGTAAGTAGACAATCAAACGTTGTCCTCCGCCGGCGTCGTCCACGCTGGCTCTTTCGCAAGACAGCGTCGAAGCCATGCAGCAACGAGTGAAACTAGGGAAACTACTGAAGGCGGTGCAAAGCCAAGAGCACGTAGTCGCGGCGTCTCCACGCTCTTAGAGCTGGTCGAGCCGCTAAAATGCGCCCCACAGCTTCCGCCGCGCTGCACCTTGTGTCCTGCATCAACCATGCGCAAAGGGCCGCAGGGCTGCGATTGATGCCGCCGAAGCAGTGGAAGAGCACGTTGAAGTCCTTGCCCTCCTTTCTGCAGGCTGTGCGTGCACTCGACAGAGCATCAGCCATGCCTTTCCAAGTTTGGGTGCAGTTCTGCGTGCATTCCAAGAACCAGTCCGGATGCTGGCTGTACCTGACCTGGTGGTCGTCCAGCTCGACTTGCAAGTGACGCACACCGCAATCGAGGAAGTGCTTGTTCCAATCTCTCGGAGTTCCTTTCACTTGCATCTCTGTTTTCCAACAAATGCTGACAACAACTGTAACGGGAACTTTCGTGTGCAACTCCACATGGAGGAGGTCCGCAGCCGAGCGCAAGCTGCCGAGCAGACACTTCTCGCCGGGCTCGGAGCTCACCACCACAGCGTCGAGAGGCCACTCCGAGATGTCCCCGAAGTTGTAGGACTCGCCCCAAACAATGTAGTCCATGTCCGACCAAGGTCCATGCTCGTATTTGTTTGCAATTTCGAGCTGCCAAGTTCGAATAAATGTTTCTTCCGCATCTGACATCGCCGACGAAGCAGAAGAAGCAGAAGACGAAGAAGCGGCCAGGGCATCCATATGTGCAAAGTAGCAAGCAGGCTCGAAGGAACTAGGTCTCTCGGGCCAAAGCTGTCAATACAAGCAAGCAGAGAGAACACTCCGGTCACGACAATTCGCTCCACGCGATCCCTCACTTCCTGCCATTCTCCAGGCTGATCATTTCCACGATCTCGTCCTCAGACGTTTCCGTGATTACCTTGATAATCTCGGTGATTTTACCACTGGATGATGCATGTGCTACAGTAATGGTCCAGGTGATTGGGTCTCGCGCGACAGCAGCTTTGGCCGCGAGCTAGACACACAGCCCGCTGGCGGAAGGCAGCTTTCGCAAGACAGCGTCGACTGCTCCGTGTGAGACGTTTGCAAAACCGTACCCTCGCTTGCTGCAGGTCCGTGACCTGCAGCACAAGGATTGAGAGGGTCGGCATATCCTTCTCACAAGACAAAAACTACACCTTGTCTCCAGTCACCTTGTCTCCTGTTTTCCAGGTCTCGCAAGACAGGCCAAAGGAGCCAGTACACTACATAAAGCACATCCGTGTTCACTTGAATCTGCGGGAAGTCGAAGTCCGGCTCGTTGGGTGGGAAAAGGTACTCGGGGTATCCTAAGGACATCCTCGCATCCAGATACTCACCAATGAGACGATTCACATTTCCAGGCAGGCCTTGCAACTCCAAACTATCAGCACCCGAGGTCCATAGCAGCGCCACAGTGATGGCCACGGGAGCCGACATCTAAACTGCTATCATCGCGCCGAGCTTGAGCCAGTTGTGCAGCTGAAGCAGGAATGTCAAGGTCGGTGTCGATTCGAATGTGCGTCGCAGGACACGCCCAACTTTACATTCCGTTGCAAGGCTGCCTAGGATGCCGGAAGAGCCCCTCCGCTGTCGGTTGGAAACCGACAGCGGAGGCCAGACACGCAATCCACTCGCGAAATGCAGCTTTCGCAAGACAGCGTCGACTGCTCCGCGTGGGGATTTTTTGCAAAACAATACTATCGTTGCTTCGAACAGGTCAGTGACCTGCAGAAAAAAAGGGACCTCAAGGCGCACGGAAGCCGTGCAACGGCATTCCCGGCGCGAACTCCGGGTCCATAATTTCTTGGATCCTGCGCAGCAGCTGCACGATCCTTTCGTGTTCCCGAGACCAATCTTGCATGGTACGCATCAGCTCAGCTAACTGCACGTTCATTCGCGCTTGATCCAGCAGCATGTTATTCAGCTGAGCTTGAAATGTATGCACAAGGACCTCATAATTCACTGGAGTGGGGTACACGTTTGCATTCGCGCTGGTGTCCGATCCAACTCCATCCTCGTGAGAATCCTGTTGCGCTTGGTCCGGACCTTCCACCGTGGATGTAGTTACATCTCCAGGATGGGGATCCATGGCGCCAAACAGACACGAAGAACGGAATCTAACTCAGCAGCTGCGTGGAAGAATGTAGCATGCGAGCAGGAACAGCCAAGATTCGCCTTCGCTATCAATGAAGCTGCCTGAGCTCGCTCCTACCTGACAAGACGCCATGGAACAAACAGCATTTTTGTCGCGTCAAGGCCGAGAGAATCGCGCATCTAAGACTCAATCAGCGGCTTTAGAACATCACTGCTACGTGCAGAGGCTAGATACAGCCCACTGGCGGAATGCAGCTTTCGCAAGACAGCGTCGACTGCTCCGCGCGGGGACCGTCGCAAAACTGCACCCTCGCTTCGAGGAGGTTCAGTCAATGCAGCCCACTGGCGAAATGCAGCTTTCGCAAGACAGCGTCGACTGCTCCGCACGCGGACCCTTGCAAAACTCCACCCTCGCTTCGAGGAGGTTGAGTCAACGCAGCCCACTGACGGAAAGCAGCTTTCGCAAGACAGCGTCGACTGCTCCGCGCGGGGACCTTCGCAAGACTCTACCCTCGCTTCCAGGAGGTTCAGTTCATTTCCCAAGCGCTGCACTTCACTTTCGATGGCGTCTCCTGCACGAGGCTGCTGGCAGGTCGTTTGTTGCTTTGCAACGCCGGTCCGCCCTTGAGGAGGTTCCAGACCATCTCACGCTCCTTCGAGAATGTCGTGATCTGCTCAGGTGTCACTTTCGACATCCATTCCACCTGCAAAACCACCTCCTGGGTTGCAGCATTCTTGATCACACGGCCCAAGATCAAGCGCGGAAGGCCGTCTGCCATGTTGAAGAGGAAGCAATTTGTGAATTGACAAAAAGCCTCGATCCCGAATGCCTTTCTGTCTCCTACACGCTCGAGCGTGTGCGAGTACACCTCCTTGTGCTTCGTCAACAGGTGCTTCTCCTCGTCCTTGAACACCTCCTCCACGGTGGGCTCGTCCTCGGCAAAGGCCACAACGGTCACGTAGTTTGCGAAGACACCGCCTAACTTGAAGAAGGTGCCCATGTCTGAGCACATCAAATCGGCAATCGGACACTGGACTGGCAGCACAGCACCATCTCGCTTCTCGGTCGCAAGACGGGTGACCTTTTTCACCATCGGACGCCGGTCCTCGTCGTACTCCTCCCCGAAGCAGGCGCGAGCTGCCAAGACTTGAAACTGGGTCGGGGCAGCAAGTCCGCCGGTCACACTCGCCTGCGAAGCTTGCTGCGCGGAGCCCCCCGCGGTTGGCCGAGGCGGTGCGACGTGCCCAGCCGTGCGTCGCACGGCCCCCTGAAGCAGACTGCCTCACTGCCTTTCAACTGGATCAACTCAACCAGCTTCTCTTCGTCACGGACCCGGGCCAGCGCCGCCAGCTCCGGTCCTCCCACAAGCACGTTGCTGAGCTGCCCCGTCCAGTCCGCCAAGTGCACGGTGGCCAGCACTCGCTGGGCATCCGCAGGCTCCGTCTGACATCCATCGGTGGCACGCTTGCACTTACCGGAAGTTGGGTCGATCTTCGTGGAACACACTTTGCACGGAGTATAGACTGGATCCCCAACGATGTCGACGAGCCAGACGTTGTGCAGGGCCACTTCGACTTTCTCCTGCGCCAAGCAAAGTCATGCAAGTTGGGGCACGGGAAAGCAGCTTCTACACAACAGAAACACGCGAAGGCAGTCCTGCGTTGATCCCTGCTCCATTGCGCTGCCGAATGCATTCATAGTTGCGGCGCATGCGACGTAGCAGGGCCCCAAGTCAGTGGTCAGCCTGCCGCCACCACTCAAGGAAGGGCACCAAGGAACGGAGATGCGATCGCCTTGCGTGGGTTCCAGATCCCGAAGCTCCTGTGCCCGATCGCCTTTGGGGTCCACGTGCAGCATACTAAAGCCGTGCTTGTCGTTGTCGATGAAATGTTCCGCGGTGCCTTCGATGGAATCGTTCTCCTTCTTCAGCAGGGAAAGGTTGTCGATCTGAACGACGCTACCTTTGTGCGCGTTAGCCAGACTCTTTACGAAGCGGTCGCCCCAGATGTTCACCAGCATCTCCTTGCCCGACGTGTCTTTTAACCAGAGGTTGGCTTTGGGCTTGGAGGTAATCGGCATCTCGAGCTCCGTGACCAGTCCAATGACATCCACACGCTCGCGCCCTTGGCACTGTGTCGCCAACACCGAGAAGTCCGACCTTGCAACGGGGAAGAGGGACTTCATCTCCATCGCCGACGGGTGGGAAGAAGCAACCGGAATCACTTTGGCCCTCGAGGCTCTGTCTGACAAATCCACATAGAGGCCAGCGAAGAATTTGTTACTGACCGGCTTGAGGTGCGTGGCATAGAAGACATCCTTGTTCCAGGGATCAGCCACCTTCTTCAGAGTGGAGGCGTCCGACGCGCGAAGCTCCGCGTACAGACCCTTGCCGTCTTTGTCCACGAATCGCATAATCATTTTGCACCAGGAACCTCCTCTGGCATTGGGCATTTGCTTGATTTCACAGTAGACGTGGCGAAGCAAAACCTTCATGGAAGCGTGGTTTTGCTTAGTGAGGCGCTCCAAGGTGGTTTCAATCAAGTTGTTCTGCGCCATCCGCAAGGCAGGCTAGCAGCACACTGAGCTTTCGCAAGACGGCGTTCACCCAGAGCACCAGCTGCACACTGAGCTTTCGCAAGACAGCGTCCACCCAGGACACCGCCGAAACACTAAGAGCAAAAGGCAATTTGAACCCAAGCTACGCAATGAGGCACTTCCAGCCTCAGAGGTAGAGAGACATGCACCAGCAAGCACCAGTTCGAGCTCACATGGTCTGTTTTTTCTCGCAAGACAGCATCCATTCGGTTCCGTGAACATGGCAGAGCAGTGCATAACTCGCAAGAGAGCCCTGTCCTTGTGGCCAAGCTTCCTGGCAATGCCGCGGTCTTTCAGGAGACGGTGTCCAATCGCAGGCGTGGATCCTGCAAATAATGGCAAATGGATCGGCAGACAGGCACCAAGCAGCGCTGTGCAGCTCGGTTCAGGTACGCTGCAATGCCACACCACGTCATGCGTGCAGCACGGAAGGCCGACCAAGGCCGGCATGATGCACGGGACGGGCTGAAATCGGCCGAGCTTTGCGAACTTAGATCATCACCGCCAAAAAAACGCGCAAGGCGTTGCAGTGCAGCAGCATCCGCACGACGCTGCGTCGATGATGATGTGCTGACAGTACATGAAGAAGCAGCATCGTCCACAAACTGAGCACCTGCAGATGCATCGGTGGCTGCAAGCCGATCTTCTGGCATCGAGGCCTCTCCGCTCTGAATACGCGAGCCGGGGCCGAACCAACTCGCGTTTCCACGCAGTGCCAGGTCGTGCGTGGCTCGGCGGAGCCAGTCGGCCATGACTGACTGGACTGGAAAAAATGCCGCGCAGGATGCGACTTACCCTTGACAACATGACATGAAGCAATCCATAATTTTGCGTCATCAAAGCATCGAGGGAGGTAAAGGACGACGGGCACTTGTTTATAACTTCTCCCCACACCCACTCAGCAGCTTTTTGCACCCTCCGTCGGTGTGCTGGACAGCAATCACTGCTGAATGCAGAGGCTAGGCGCAATGCAGCTTTCGCAAGACAGCGTCGACTGCGTCAATGGGTCCAGGGCAGGCCCCCCCCCCCCACTGCTGAGGTTTCTTCGCGCAGAAGCTGGATACAGCCCACTGGCGCAATGCAGCTTTCGCAAGACAGCGTCGACTGCTCCGCACAGGAATTAATCACGAGTCCATGGCAAATGACCCCACTTGCGGAGCACGCGCTTGGCGCGTTGCCGTGCAAGATCTTCCACCTCATCCAATTCCAGCCTTTCGCGTTCGCTTGGATTCTGGACATAAAGAAAGCCTCTGCTCACGAGTCGTCGTACAGTTCCGTTCGAGAGAAGGTTGGCAAGGACCATCTCGTCCTCCGGCGTGTGTGTAGCCTTCCAAGAACAGCAGTACCAATGATCCGCGGAGTCCTTGCTCAAACCCAGGGTTCTCTGAACGCGAACAGCATCGTTGAAAGCTTCCCACTCCACGGCATCCAAGTTCAGCCGTCGCCGAAGCTCTGGATTATTCACGTGCTGAAGACCTGTTCGCACCCGAAAGATACTCTCCGAGTCCGAGGCAGGCCGAAGCATTTCATTTATTTCCCAGTCCGTCCAGCAGCTGTCTTCCCGGTAGCTCTTAAGAATGCTTGGATGCAGTTTATCCACTCTCGGATATTGAGGTCTGCGAGAGCGCATCATTCGAAGAGTCCGACGTCTTCGATGCGGAGGACAGCATGCAGGCACGAGCATGGCAACGCCTGCACCCCTCCAGAGTCCAGGACACTCCTCGAGCCCCACACAACAGCCGGTCAAATGCCATGCATACCCTGCACCTGGAGCTGCAAAGCACGGCTTCATCACGACGGCCTGCAGCTACGTCGAACACGACTGTGATCCGATCGATCGTCGAACGTGAAACAGAACTCCACTGGCGGAATGCAGCTTTCGCAAGACAGCGTCGACCACTCCCGCCGTGCCTGGATGTCCGGTTTTATCGCATGCCACATGTCTCGAGACGACCTTCTACACGACTGTGATGCGATCGATCGTCGAACGTGAAACAAAACTCCACTGGCGGAATGCAGCTTTCGCAAGACAGCGTCGACCGCTCCCGCCGTGCCTGGATGTCCGGTTTTATCGCATGCCACATGTCTCGACCTTCTACACGACTGTGATGCGATCGATCGTCGAACGTGAAACAGAACTCCACTGGCGGAATGCGGCTTTCGCAAGACAGCGTCGACCGCTCCCGCCGTGCCTGGATGTCCGGCAACCGCCGAATTAAGCGTAGTCCTGGACAAGTGAAAGATCAGCTCGCGGACTGTTGTTCCTCATCTGATGGGTCAGGCAATTCGATAATCTCGCGCTGCGGCACCGTGACATCGAGGGCCTCCAAGAGCCGTGTCACAGCTGCAAACGCCTCCAGCAGAAGCCCTTGATGTCCCTTCAATGCTGCAGGCGGTGCAGGATCAGCATCATTAGGACGAAAGGACATGCGCAAGAGGGTCAATTGCGTGAAGACCCAACCTCGATCGGCAGGTGTGCTCTCCACCACTCTCCGCAATTCTTCTGGGTCTGTCACGCGCTTCAGCAGAAGATCGCCTGCTTCAGGTGCGACCGCAGCAATGGCGAGATTACATATTTGCAATGCCGGGAGATCCGGCAGGTCGCGAAGCGCCAGAGACAAAGCGTCGCAGAGAGTGCCCACATCCGGATTGCGCGTCCACGGCAGCGGCACCGTGACTTCCAGGGCCTCCAAGAGTCGTGTCACGGCTGCAAACGCCTCCAGCAGAAGCCCTTGATGTCCCTTCAATGCTGCAGGCGGTGCAGGATCATCGTCATTAGGACGAAAGGACATGCGCAAGAGGGCCAATTGCGTGAAGACCCAACCTCGCTCGGCAGGTGTGCTCTGCGCCACTCTCTGCAATTCTTCCGGGTCTGTCACGCGCTTCAGCAAAAGATCGCCTGCTTCAGGTGCGACCGCAGCAATGGCGAGATAACATATTTGCAATGCCGGGAGATCCGGCAGGTCGCGAAGCGCCACAGACAAAGCATTGTAGCGAGTGCGCACATCGGGATTGCACGTCCGCCGCAACGTTGCCATGGCCAGGAGGACTGAAAGTCAACTCGAGAGATGGCGCTGCGGAATGTTGACACCTGGAGCTGCAAAGCACGGCTTCATCACGAGGGCCTGCAGCCACGTCGATTAGGTTTTGTCGCATGCCTCATGTCTCGACCTGCCACACGACTGTGATCCGATCTATCGTCGGACATGAAACAGAACTCCACTGGCGGAATGCAGCTTTCGCAAGACAGCGTCGACCGCTCCCGCCGTGCCTTGATGTCCGGCAACCGCCGAATTAAGCGAATGACGAGTTCCCCAAGGACACAGAAGCCAGCAGGTCTCTTCTCGACCCACTGGCGGAATGCAGCTTTCGCAAGACAGCGTCGACCGCTCCCGGCGTGCCTTGAATGACGATCGAACCAGCCTCACACGCCGGGCCACCGGCCCCCCAGCAAAGTGATCTTCAGCTGGAAGACGAAGACCCTGCGCCTGCATCCGCCGCGGCTGCGCCACGAATCCTTGCCAAGAGGCGGCGACACTGTCTACACTCGGCAGTCCTCCACTGAGTCCGCCTAGGCCCTAGGCAGTGGGTTACCGCAGTGCAGGCACATAGCCCGAAGGCTGCCGGGGTCGTGTTCAGGGTTGCCGGCGTGGAAAAGCCAGAAGATAAGGGCGCGGCGGTGACGAACCATGGGGTCCGCAAAAGCCTCCAAGGCAGTGGGCACCGCTCCCGTTCCAGGGGACGGGTCCCGCCACCTCCGCTCACCTTGCTGCCACTGCCTCCATGCAGCCAAAACTGAGGCCAAGGAAGCTCCCGGCAGGTCATGCAGACTGTTGATTTCTGCCATGTAAAGAACCCTTGCCATGGTGACACTGAGCATATCTGGCACAGTGAGGGGCGAGCTGTGCCGAGCAAGCTCCTCCTCATCGAACATAGCATCACACTCGTAGAACCTGATGCGAGCGTCATCGGGATGCCACCCGTCGGGCACCACAGTGGCCCTGACAGCCCATGGCCCCAGCCAAGGAAACTGGAAGCCTCCTCTGGCCTGTTCACACCTTGGGCAAGGAGACGCGACGCACGCGATCCGGCGGAGAGGCACGAACCGGCCCTCGATCCTGAGACTAGGCACGACGTCCAGGGGAGGAGGGTAGTGCACCACCTCACAGACCTGCTTCCAGACATGCCAGAATGCCTCAGCATCGTTGTTCCTAGTGAACTCGCCCATGTACCTGACAAAAGCCGACATGTTCTCGGCATGCAACACCCGAGATTCGGTATAAGTGATGCGACCGACACGGGTGGCAACATCCATCCCTAGGAGTCACTCTCCGGGAAACAAAGTACCAGCTTGCCAGGTTCGGCTCTAGCTGCTAGCTGAAGCTCGAGCCAAAATGCACAGACGGGCAGATCGTCCACACGTCTCATCTCAGCCGAACACCCTCTCGCTCGGAGAGGCCTTTTCGACTCCTTGTTGCCAAGCTAAGCAGCGCGTTCCAAGGACAGTAGCTAAATTGAACCTCACTGAGCCAAATGCAGCGTCGCCTCAGAACGGACATCGTGTACCTGATGCCAACCACATGGAAGCTGTGAACAGCAACGCACAGCACAGGGGACACCAGACAGCTTTTTGGGCAGAAGCACAGCCAGCCCCGCGAGGGATTGCTGCTGCGCCGCACTTTCGCAAGACAGCATCCATGCGGTTGCAAAGCTATTCTAAATCTGCCTATCAGCTACAACAGCAGCTTCATCCTTCGCCACCCACTCTCGCGCTTTCAGGAAGCGCACGTACGCTGTCAAATAGCGCATGTGCACGAACGTCACTGACACGGCTTGCACCGCTGCAGCCTCCATTTCTGACTCCGACATACTAAAACCTCGCCAGTTCCAGGAAACGCTCCAATGCAACCCTCTCTTGTCGTTAGACAATGTTTGGAAAGGGCCTGCTCGGGGCATCAGCCAAGCGAGAAGGCCACTGACCACGTTGTGCAGCTCGTCCGGCACAAACCCGTAGCTTTCCTCGTCCGTCGTGTCGTAGCATTCCTCAGGGATGCATGGAGACAGGCTCGCGACCAGGCGGTGCGCCGCAAACTTCATGGTGCCCTCCCGAGTTGCCTCACAGGCTTTCGGCAACTCCGGCAACATCTTAGGCTCGACCCCATCAGGTCGCCACCCCTCCAGTCGGCAACGCTTCAACGGCAAGAGGACGTGCAGGTTCTGGAGCAAGACCTCGCATCAAACAGGCAAACGCAAACCACCTGCAAGTGAGGACAACAAATAGCAACAAAAAAAGCCGCGTACACTCGATTCTCTAACACTTTGATAACCGGCACAGCGACGGTCAAGGGCTTGTGCTGAAAGGAAGGCAGGTTTCTGTGCATCTTGCCGCGGAGCTGCTGGCCACAGGCATCCCCAGCGGCTTCGTGCTCTTCTCGCGTGACTGCATCGATTCTGGCCGTCTTGCGCGTGCAGGCGCGCACGGCTGAGCTGTAGGCAGGTTTGTTTAAAAAGCCCTTCTGCCCAGGCCGAATTTCTACGTACTTCATGGCTTCGTCGAGCATCTCCAATGACATCTGGGGCGACGGAGCATGCAACTGGGTCTTGGCGACCAGAAACTCGTGCCACTTGCACACAGTCGGAGCCCAAGTATCCCGGCGCATGAACTCCCAGCAGACACCCGCAGCAGGTTCGCCCGGATGCAGGCATCGAGCAACTGACTGCCTCCCTACATTGTCGCAAGACTGCGTCGGCGCGGTTCGGCAGACAAGCCAAATCCGCGGAGTCGCAGAGTCTGGGTCTTCGCCATCAACAAGCATATCAGACACATCCTGACAGGGTTGGACAGCGAGAACATATGCTTCCACGTACTGTTCCAAAAGGGCGTTCCAGTGGACGTTCTTCACGGCGCACAAAAGCCTTCTCCTGGCGTCGCTGATGCCTTGCTCCATTTCAAACAAGACCAGTGCACTAGAAAGAAGCCGCACCTCGCACACAGTAGACGCCCACCGATTCGTTTGTCGTGGTTCGCGCTTTTCGCCGACCAAAGAACTCGGCTCGGCTCGAGAAAGCATTGCTGGCGGGTGACTGGCAACGAACGAGAGCCCGATGCTGCATAGACAAGAAGGAAAATGCAACTAGCCCTTGCAGAAGCAACACAGCCGCGACCGGGTGCCTCTTCTCTGCGCTCCATCCGCAGCCTTTGCGAAACACAACAAAAGTTCAGTATAGTGAGTGGCAGCTGTCGACTTGATATGAGATTTAGCATGGCAGGCGCTGTGACAACAAAAGTAATTGTGGCTGCTCGTTCGCGTTTTGACCGGAGCGCAACTGGTGCCCGCATCATCGCACTTTCGCAAGACAGCGTCCATGCGGTTTCGCTCGGCATCTGGGATCGGAGCACTGCCGTGCATTCACGAGCCCATGCCCGCACCACTCTTTGACTAATTACGCCTAGCCGCTTCCGCGCGAGCAGCCTCCACGCGCAGGAAAAATGCGGGCTCCACGGAACAGCTGCGTGCCTTCAGCGCTGTCCTCTGTGCCTGAGCCACCATCCGAACGGCTCGCCTACCACGCCCCTCTTCATTGGCTTTGTGTGCTCGCAGCCGCTCGTTAACACCCGCCATCCGAGTCTGAATCTCAGCCTCCGAAGGACAACGACTCGATGCCCGTCCTCCCGCAGAGCTCGCTGGTGAAGATGCTCGGGAACACACAGGATTACCCTGAGACTGAGTCTCGCCAGATCTTCGTGCGAAAGTGACAGGAAGCGAGCTCTCCTTGCCAAAGGCCTGCTGGTCCAGCATCTCGCGACAACGTCTCTCCAACGTGCCCAATCGAGCTTCCCTCTTATCCAAGCCGCCCTTCACCTGCTCTACTTTGGCCACACAGTCCGCGGCAGTCCGCTGCACCTGATCTAGCCATGCCTCGCACTTGGCCACATGCTGCGCGTACAACTTCTTCAAGTCTTGCTCCACGCCCATCATTTGCTCACGTAACACGTCCGTCTGACGAGCTACTTCACTTCGATGGTGTTGCTGCAGTCGAGCCCACCACTGCTGTGCCGTATCGTCCATGGTGCGTCTGACACCTTCGGTTACTCGATCTTCAAGATGCTCCAAAGAGTCCAAACGACTGTCCTGTCGTCGAAAGCCTTCGCGATTCGACTGACGAGTCGCATGAAGGATCGTCTGCAAGACATCAGCCTTCCTCTCGACGGCTTCCAACCGCTGCAGAGCCGTTGAGTCCATGGTTCGAAATATCTTACAGTCCCGCCTGACGCACCGAGCTTTCGCAAGACAGCGTCCACTCGGCGGCGTCAGAGCGGCAAGCAAGCAAAACGTAAATCGAGCCCAGCTGAGAAAGAACACAGCAAAATTGGAAACGGCTTAAATGCAGCCCTCCCCCCCCCCCCGGGCGAGACCCCAGAAATCCCTTGAAAGGGACGACTACAAGCCCGCCCTTGCACAAACCCGATCTGTCTTCGTCCAGCCTCATTCCCGACAATCGTCTTCTCGCAGCTCACAAGATCTGCGAGAGGTTTAGGGGGGGCAGTTGACATGGAAGGATGACAGAAGCAGGGACACAGATGGGATGATATAACAAGGATCACAGGGTATTAGCCCATTAATTAAACGAGTTCCAATCAGCCCTAAGGCGGCATCTGGCAACAGTCCGAAGTGGATTTCGCGATCCATGGAGAGTCTTATTCCGAATGTCGGGAGATATCCTATCCTCTAATGTCACAACCAAACGGCCGACCTCGCGGAGCCGCGCCACTGCTCGCCGCGTTTAAGCCCCAAATACAGGCATCGAGCAGGACCCATTCCAACAAAATGAGCAAACAGCAACATCGGCCCCTCTAGATACCCTCTAAACACGCCGGATGCCGCCGGTTAATCATCTACGCTATCGTGGGCTCGTTAAGCCGGTCTCCCTTCGGGATGGGCGAGTGGCTGTTTCTGCCTCCTTGGGCTCCGTCGACCCCTTCGCTCACCGCAAGCACCATCGCAGCTTTCACTGCCCGTTCGCGGCCACATACCGT